TGTGTGCATGTGTGTGAACTGATAAATGATGTCAATTAGGAGAAATTGTTAATTGTCGGGCATTTGCCGCGCTTGGCCCTGTCCTCGATGCTGTGTGTGTGTGTGCATGTGTGTGAGGCAACGAGCCCCTTTTTTTATTATTGTCTGAATAAACATTCATACATAATTGTTTTTTAAGCTCTATTGAAGTGTGCGTTGATAATAGCGGAAAGTTGAAAACATCTACAGACGTCATCGGATCTATAAGTGGAAATGATTTGATTGTTTTTCTTTTCAAAAAATAAAACACAAATGTGAAACTATGTATGTATTCCGACAGCTTGCTAGAATGAATTCGAATCGGGCGAATTTAAGTCAGCCGACGAAATCTAAGTCCTATAAATCATTTCAATTAGAGCTGATTAAAATGTGTATGCCAGTTGGCAGCTCTGACGTACACCTTCAGTTACTAATGCAGCTGGAAAGTGTAAGACTTGAGGCTTTATTTTTTGTTTATTAAACCTAATCTTGCTTGTCTTTTGGTTAATGCCACCTGCCAAGCACGATGACTCAGCGCAACAGCTTAGCACGCACTGAAACGCACTAGCATGCACGCAGCATAGGAGCGAGCGAGACAAGGGCAAGGGCTTATGGGTTATGCTCGGCTTTACCGTTCAAGCGCGCTCAACAGCAAGCGCAACGGCAGCGCTGCCGGACGACTCCGTGTGCGGCGTGGAAATGGCTGATGCAATCGTCGAAGTAAATTGGGCGAGAGTCGAAGCCACTCGGAATCGGCTGCTTCGGTGGTGGTCGGTCGGCACTACTTTGGTATTGGTGATGGTGTTGGTGTCGGTGTTGGTGTTGCTGATGGTGATGAGTGCTCGCAGCTCAGTTGCACAATTCAACAAAAGGTAACCAAAGACAGGGCGCGCACACACACAAACACACACTTACATAGAGTTCAATTTATGCACGCAAAGAATGCAAGGGAAGCAGAACACACACACACACACACACACACACACACACGCTAGCATACGAGCTAAGCACATACAGCCGCGCAGCAGGCATAGCACACTCCATAGGTTAATTGATAAATTACACAGTTTTACGCATATGTATGTGTGCTATTGAGGAAGTGCTCACGTTTTCTAGGTATGTATATGTACATATACATATATGTATATTGTTATAAGCGTATATTTATTTTTTTAGTTAATGCTAATAGCGCTCGCAATCGGAACAATTATCGGTTATTGTAATTCAGTTCGACAAAAAATTTTCCATATTCAAAAAAAAAAAAAAAAAAAAAAAAAAAAAAATATGAGAAATAAAAGTGGTTTTATAAATTTTCCATTACAACTGCTTTTATAAGCCAGTACACAGACACACATTAACACCCAAGAGTACGGTGAGCGTGCGTGGCTATGTAATTGTGTTATACATACATACATATGCCGCCGCAAACGAATATCTTTTATATGCATAACTATTATACGCACTTGAAAGGGAAATTTCTGTCATTTGAAAAATATCCCTCAAGGCAAAAAGTAACGTTTATTCAAATGCATAGCCTGAGGTCGAGGTCGCGCGAGGCTGTTGCCAAGCGCATTTTTTTGGACTTTATCAGACAGAAAAAAGAAGAAGAAGTAGAGAAAAAAAATGCTACATTGGCAACGACGGCACAGAATTTGTGGCATGCACATGAATTTTCTCACGTCGCCAGCCAGGTGTAGATATGTATGCATATATATATATGTATGTTTCTGTATGTGTGTAGACGATTTGTACAACCTGCAATTCACATGCCTGCACAATATACGTTTGTAGTTGTGTGTGTGTGTCTGTGTGTGTGTTTGACTTGTCTTGGCAGTTGCATGTTGCACTATCTTTTCCCCGAACTGCATATCTCTCTATCTGTCTGTCCCTGTCTCTGTCTGTCCGTCCGTCTGTTTGCTGACTTTGAATGAGTCGAATGAGTCTCAGCCCAGTTCCGGTGGCTGTTGCCCGTTAATTAGCAGAAAAGTGCAAACGTAGACGGCAAAGCGAGCTCTTTTAACCATTTTTTTTCTTCGTATTTTTGTATGTTTTGTCTCTTTTTAACTATGAATATTTTTGTTGTATCTTTTCTGTTAATCGAGTGTGCATCTTTCTACCAGCATTCGCTGCATTTGCCATGATGCAATAATTGGGGCCAACAAAATAATGGCGAAATGCTACGATCGGACGATAAAACAATTAGGCGATCGTATGATCGTACGATCGTATGATTCGCCCAGTTTTCGACCTTTCTTATTTCTAGGAAATTGTATCGTTTTCTTTCTTCTTTTTTGGAGAGTAATAAATTGATGGTTTGACGCGTTCGATCGATTGCCGATCGGTACCAAGCGGTGCCAAGGCCTATGAATATACATATATCTCATTCATTGTGCTCATTTAACGCGAACTGCTTTGGCTACAGTGCTCGATATATTTGTATTTATTTCTTGGAAATTCACATAATTAATTCATTGTTATACAATGAAGCATGTACGTTAATTTTCTCTTACATAGGAAAAACTTTTCAAACGTTATTAAAATCCCCTCATAAAATCCCCTTTTCACATGTAAGTAATCTGGAAACTAAGAATTTCCACCCAAAAGTCCTTTTTAAGCTAAATTAAGAATCATAAGCCTGAATCATTTTGATATGTTATAAACAAGTGTTATACTGATTGAAGCAACGACCAATCTAAAATGAACACGAAATTTCCTGAAGCAAACAATTTGGAATGAGCGCAGCTGTTATACTATGTGCACGCACAACTGTTATACCATGGAGAGAAGCGCGTACAGTTTGCATCCGTATTGCGAGTGCGTGCGCTTTTCCTGGAACGTCATCAGATCTGCTCGAATCTCGTTAAGCTGCAGCATCAATAATTGAATCGATCGATATGAAAGTGGCGTTTGATCTAGTAATCGATCTAATGCAGTTACGTCAAATTTGTTACGTTAGCTACTCGTTACGTTGTTGGTCGCCTTTGAGGCCTGTGGTCAGAAGGGCACGAGATCAATTCGCCACAGCTGCAGCAATTTACTTGATTTCAATTGAGTTTCGCTTGGCAATTGGCAGCTGCCAAATGTGGGAGTCGAGCAGAGCGACTGGGGCGAGATGGTGCAATGAATATATATATGTATATGTACATATATATAATTGGTGTATATATATATTGTATATTGCTGGTTGACTTTGCCGACAAATGAATAAAACTAGTCAGAGCTAGCTAGTTAGTGCGGCGAGAATACGAACCCCGGGCACCAGTTCTGGCTGCCGCCCAGCAACAGGCACAGGCACAGGCACAGCAGCCGCAACAACCGCCCCACCGTCCCACCAGATCCAACAGATCCACCAGACCCACTCTGAACCACACGTAACTAGCGACACAGCGGCACAGCGGAAAGCGAACACGCGATCTGTTGAATTGCTGCCAGTCTGTCTGCCATTGTGACTGCTCCCCTTCCCGCTGTGCTCTCCTCTCGCTCTCGCACGCGCTCAGTCTATCTGCCTGCTTCCACTCTGGCAACAAGTTTTGCTGTCCCCCTCCCACTCGCTGGCCCCCGCTTACATTTGTGGTTTTCTGCCCTCAACCGAGCGAACGCAGCAGACAAACTGGCACTCACTTGATTGCAATGAATCAACTGTGCTGATCAGCAGCAGCAGCAGCAGCAGCAGCAGCAGCAGCAGCAGCGGAGCAGTGTAAGGGGGCGCTGCAGCGAGGGGGCGTGGCGTGTTGGGTCGCGACAAATGGAACCTTGCAGCGTTGAGCTGCCGCTCGCCTGGACTGCGGCGTTTAAAAGCCATGCCGCCAGGCACGTACGAATGTGGTGGAAAGAAGCAGCACGAGAATTGCTACACGGCCAGAAAAAGTGGAAAATAATATTCATTGGAAATCAAAACAAATTTACATATTTCCTTATTAAATCAATTCCTTTTCATATTATTTTTATATACATATGAATATATGTATAAACTGAATTAGAGAAGTGAGCATATATTTCTCTCAGTGTACCGGTCACATTTAAATTCTTGTCGTTGTCAACTGGTTTCATTCGGGTCCCCAACCCCATCCCCGTCGCAGCTGAGGCGCATTGAGTCAAGGGTAAAGCAACTATTGGCTAGGAATTGAAAGTGCGACGGGTCATTCCCATGTAGAACTGTACCTCTATCCGCTGGAAGCTACTTCCATTGCAGTCCGAGCTTAGTCTATGGAAAGTTTGCGGGGCGCTGCAATTGCCGGCTGGAGCGGCTCAAACTGCATTCAAATAGCCAAGAGATCAAATGATAAATGAACTGTTCTTTCGTTTCGTTCCGGCTCCGATCATTGTGAGCGCGCTGCTCATCTTGCTTGAGTGTGTGCGTGTGTGTGAGTTATTGCTTCCAACGAAGTGAGTTTGGCCCGAACTAACAGAAACGAAGTGCAGCCAGCAATACGAAGGGCACAGTGGCATCCGCCCGGCGAACAGTGTGTAAGTGTGTGAGAGAGAGCGAGAGCACGAGAGCGAGTTGAAGAAAGAGAGCAGTGCGTGTCGATGGCGGCGCTCTGTTCGGCTCTGCTCTGCTCTGTTCGGCTCTGGCGTATATAAAATGAAGTCGGCTGCGTAGCGGAATCAGTTCTGTGACAGTTTTCAGCTGTTGAACACAACTTAAGTGTGCGCCTCGCTCTACTCGCTGCAACGTTGACCGCCTTCTGACCGCTCAAACAGAAAAAGCAAAAAGAAAAAGTAAATCAAAAGCCTACCTTGACTTGTAATGTCGATGAACCGTGCGTCTTATAAAGAGTGCCGCGTCAAGAAACCACAATTTGTAACAGTTAACAAGGAGTCGTGCTGAAGCCCCGCCCCCTCGCTCCACAACCTTTTCACTCATCAACACTGAGACGAATGTGCCCAAGCTTTGAGCTGGACATACGCTACGGTTGAAGATCGAAGTCAAATACGCCCACTATTTTGCACTACGCTCCGGAACCGGAACAGGAAAAGGAAAAGGAACAAAATAGAAGCTGCTCGTCGCAGGCGCTGTTGCGTTGCAAAATAAAGAAAAACAATCAAAATTTCACCAAAGCTAAGCTGCACAGCTACCAAAACGGCACACCGCGCCGACTCTATGTCATTGTTAACTCAATTGCTGCTGAATTTCAATCAAAAGGCCCAATTCCGCAGCCAGCACAACTTAGAGCTGATAAACTCCTTCATAACATAACAAAAAGTTGTGAGATTCGAGCAGCTCGCGCCTTCAATCAAAAGACGCGAACGCCAAACGCTTCTAAACGCCGCCCACTTAGGGAGAAAACCGCAAACATTTTTTACCGGAAGAGAAAAAAGAAATCAAATCAAAAGGTGAGCCACTTCACAAATCCTCGCATATTTAGCGATTAGCGATTCGACGAAATACCAATTTAAAATAGACAACGACGAACAAAATTCGAAGAAAAATAAATCACATATTCAGCCATTCAGCGAATCAGCAAAAAACCCCATCCACGCCGAAGGGCAAATCGAGTCGAAAATCTGATGCAACATTTGCCAGCGAATCGCCAGACGACACACTCTATATAGAGAGACAGACTATAATGCTTTGCATACCGAATTGAATAACTTAAGTGGTCACGCCCTTGTCGAATATACGGTGAGGGTATATGGTATATGGTATATGGTATCTGGTATATAGTATAGGATCGGTCGGTCTGGCTAATTATGCTCGGCCTTTGATCCATGGCGCGTGGGCGCGCTCATCAAGGAGCTGACGTCACAACCCAAAACAATGTGATTTCGATTTTCAATTCTTCTGTCTGGGTTTTTTTCTTCCATTTTTTTCGATTTCTTAATTTTTTTTTTTTTTTTTTTTTTTTTTTTTTTTTTTGATCCACTTAAGTGTTGAGTGTTGCTGCCTACGTGAGTTCTTTGTCCACAATTTATCATCGTTTGTTCTATTTCGGTGTCCCCAGACCGCGTGATATTGTGAAATTGTGAAATGCTTAGTCGACGGCTGGGAAGATCTTCATTAGCTAGGGGTTGGTCGCGCTTCTCGCTAGGATCTCTTTACCTTGAAGTGAAAAACATTTTTTAATTGGGTTTAGATAAGTTGGTTAAGTATACATCTGTTGAAGTAAATGAATTGGAATACTTTCGATGTTTTTCGTAAATTAATCTCGGGTTTAACGAAAAACTAGATAATAGATTTTTTTTTCCAAATATTTTTTTTTTTTTTTTTTTTTTTACTTTCGGAAAAAGAAAACAAATTTGTAAAATAATGATGTAGACAGATGATTGCTGGCAGGCTCGAGCCCGGGTCCTGCTGCGCCATAAGATTGGCTGCTAGTGGGAAAGAGACAGACTGAGAGACTGAGAAAAGCGAAATGTGAAACAATTTTAAGTTTCATGTCAATTCAAGCAGCTTTTGGCCCTAAGTTATTAAGTAAAATTGTGTAATTTGTTGAGCAGGCAATATTTAACATTTTCACAATGCAATTATGCAATTTAAGAACTGAAATTTCTAGAACTATAGATATACTATATAGATAGCTGATATTCAGCTACGTTGATAATATTGCAAGATGATTTGCAAACGTTTGCCACTGCAGCCGTGGCACGTTGCGCGATTCCTCAAGTCACGATTCACGGTTCACGCTTCGATTCTTATCATCCGCCCGTCCATCCGCCGATCGATCCGTACGGCCGTCCGCTTGGTATCAGTCGACATTGTGATTTATAGCCTCGGATTTAGCCTGGCATAACGGACTTGGCACATTGTAGCTGATAACTGCAGCGATGCTCCAATGATGATTGCGGGTTTATTAACCTATATTATAAGTGGAATGATATTGAACTTTGAACCTAGCTTCTATCACTAAGCCACGCCCCTTCCGCCTCTCGACTCATTGCAGAAAATGAATTTAAATCTGTGCGCTATAGCGCTGCTGCTGTTTGGCAGCCTCTCGGGCGCCCAGAGTCGCGCCGTGGACATTGTGGACGACAGCAACGATGTGGACAACTCCATTGAGACGGAGGAGGTGCCGCAGTCCCAGTCGAAGCACCGCAACCGCGCCTTCGAGGACGACTGGCTGAAGTTCATCAAAACTCCACCAAACAAGATGCAACAGGCGCCCGGCGCCACCCTCGAGATCGCCTGCGAGATGATGGGCTCCCAGGTGCCCAGCATCCAATGGATTGTCGGTCACATGCCACTCTCTGAGGTAGGTCTAGCAAGCCCATCACCCGTCCCTCGAATCCCCTAGCTCAACTCTGCTCTCTCTTCTCAGATTGATAATCTGGAATCGAACTCGATCACGGAGGATGCGCCCACGGCGATCGTTCGTGTGCGCTCCGTGCACATTGTCGATCACATGCTGAGCGAGCCGAGAATCTACACGTGCATCGGACGCACTGGCTCCAAGACCATCTATGCCAGCACCGTGGTGCATCCCTCGCACGCTGACCAGGAGCTGGGTAATCTGATCGTACCCGAGAAGCAGTACCAGGGCCCGCAGAAGCCGCGTATCATCTACACCGAGAAAACCCATCTGGATCTGATGGGCTCGACCATCATGCTGCCCTGCAAAGTGCATGCCCGCCCGCACGCCAAGATCACCTGGAGGAATAACGAGGACAAGGAAATCGTGCAGAGCCATCGCTTCAAGGTCCTGCCCACCGGAGATCTGCTCATCTCTGACCTTAAATGGGAGGATATGGGCAACTACAAGTGTATAGCGCACAATGCTGTGGGCCGAGACTCAGCCGATACCTTCGTATACCCCGTACTTGTAAGTATCGTTAACTTCATTCTCTTCTCTTGTCGATAACTCGAATTATCGATAGCTTTTTATAGCCGCATTTTAACTTCCACACTAACTCGACATTTTCCCTACTTCTTTTTTTCATTGCAGAAGGAAGACTAAAGATTCCACCCAAGGCTATTCGATTGGACATTTTTAGTTAGTTAGATAGATCAAATGCCTTTGAAGATGCGCGAAAGATAAAAACAACACTAAAAAATACAAAAAAAAAAAAAAAAAAAAAAAAAAAAAAAAAAAAAAAAAAAAAAAAAAAAAAAACAAAACAAAAATGAAGAAAAAGAAAAGAAAGCTTAAGCTTAAGTTTAACTCTAGAATCTAATGCCGGCTTAGACTTTAATGTTTTCAATCATTTCCTTGTTTTTTTCATCCACCTCGAATTAGTTACGAATATTATTTTTAACGGTATTTGATTAGGTTCTTGATATCTAATATAGCATTTGCTTGTTTCTTCAATTTTACCTTTTAGTTGTTCAGGTAAACAAGTTTCGTTTATATGTAAGTAGCAATGTTTGTTCCTAACTATATCAGGCAAGACACTAGTTAACGATAGTAATTGGCCCGTACTTAATAAACATGTATATATGTGCTATGTATATATGTCTATATATAGCCAGCCAATGAAGACACCAATCCACCAATACACCATAGGCATCTCGAATTCACGAATTCAGATTTTCATGAATTTACCTATTCACGTATAAACGAAGTCATGAATTCACGCAAAGATTCGTCTATTTCATATCTACAAAATTTATTTATTGAACCCCCATCGTTCATACATTTACACATCCATACATCCATCTATAAGCATACAAAAGAAAGAGAAAAGTATTCACTGAGGTTAACAGAACAGTCTTTATATAATATATAGATACACACACACACACAAGTATACACACACCCATGGAAGCCCCACACAACTTTAGGAAGTGTTGCCCCTTTACATTATGTTTTATGTTTTACATTAAGCTAATTGAACTGAATTATGGTTTTTTTACATTATATATTTAAATACTATATTATTGAATTTAAAGTGTTTGTTTTTTGAATAAATACACCAAAATAATGAAAAGAACACGTTGGGCTTTAGCAATGCTTATATTGGTTTTGGTTTGGTTTTCAACATTTTATTGACACAGTTTATTCGGTACAATCTATACAGTGTTACAGTAACTACAGCTAAGGAAGGTCGGAGAACTCTTTGTGTTTTTTATTTTTCTCTTAGTAACAAATAACGAGCAAACGCATTTACGTATATATGTAAGTCAGGGCTGCGAAGCGGTTAACGAATCGGTTCGAAACGGGAATCTCAGAAAGTACTCGAAAATCAACTGAATTGGAAAGCCTAACTGAGCTCGGAGTTTGATGAACTTGTGTGACTCATAATCCTTCAAAATGGCATTCCAGAAAACAATTCGAAAATTTCGAAATTCTTGACAGCCCTGTTCTAAGTTTGAGAGATAAGATGATAAGTGTTTAAGTAAATAATTGATTGACTTATGTTGCGTATTGATCGCACTACAAGTCGAGCAGCTTCTGTGATAATCTCTACGGTATATATATATATATATTATACACATACATGTATGTATGTATATTACGTGCTGATTGTGCGCTTGTAACAAGTTGAGCAATGCGAAAGACAAAAACAGACAAAACCCTATCAAACGATCGTCTACTATATATTGTCACTTGTCATTGGAAAAGGTTGTCCTAGGGTAGGTCGGGGGAGGGAGCTGGCATCCAAGGCAGACGAGACAAAAGCGAATGGAATTTCGATGCGAAAACTTTAAATTCGTGGACGGACTCTAATTTTAGGATTTATAATACTTGTTGTCAATTGGAAATGCATTCACTCGAGATGCAGATGCAGATACTGATGCTGATGCAGCTGCAGATACAGATACAATTTTTGTTTTGTTTTTTGTGTGCTTCGTGCTGGCAASGAAAGTTGGCCCCAGTTTTCGAGCGTGGCCAAAACGCTGAACGCCACCTCGCGCCGCGCTGTTGCCGGGCAGATTTTGATGCCGATTTGAAAGTCGCGCGTGACTCAGTGCAAACGGAAATGGCAGCAGGCAACGAGAGGGGCAATGACAGAGACAGAGAGCGAGATAGATTGAGTAAGAGTGAGTGAGAGAGAGAGAGAGAGAGAGAGGTACAGAGATCAGGCAGGGACAGACGGACCGGTCCACTTGCCGGCAACCAGTTTTTGTCGCTTGAATGACGGCACGATGTGCTAATTTATATAAATATATAAAATAAGAAAATACAAAAGCAAGAAACACAACAAACGTCAGCCTAATGATAAATGATTTATACGAATTTGTCAAGCTAATTGGAAGGCGCGCGCAAAGTGCCGCGCTGCAAAGCGATCCGACACGAAAGACAAGTGAATAATTGCTCGCAAAAGAGACGAAGCAACGAAACGACGAAGGAGCGACAGAGCGGGAGGGCGGAAGAGCGCGAGAGAGGGAAAGGGAGCGATGGGCATGATAGATAGCGGGCAGTGGATACAATAAAGATGGATGGGCCACCTAGAAGAGGCTGGATTTACAGGGAATTGCGCTTAACGCTAATGGCATTCGACGAGTATCTGAAAGATACAATTTATACCCCATAGACATAGAGAGATATTTCAAGGGAATTCGCGTAGGGCAGAGGAAAGTGTTGCGAGCAAGTGCTTGGGTATGCTAGACTATGCCCAGTGCTACACTTACAGGGTATGAGTAATCATAGATACACCTGCGATAGACTATGATAGAGTCAGAGGAAGATAACAAAGACTGCTTTTACAGGGTATATGCTAATTAAGTATCTGATAATTGGTTTGGTCTGCATCAACTGATAGATAGATAGAGAATGAATAAGTGCGGGGTATGCTAACGCCTGACAAACCTCATGAAAAACGAGTGCTTTCATTAAAGCTAATGGAATTCGTGTATCTGTTAGATACTTTACTTTAACTTGATCTATAAAGAATTATTTGAGGCGAGTCCAACTAACTGAATATGTGATTTGTTGGCCTGCTTTTTGGCCATTTTAATTAGTTTTGTGTTTTTTTGTTTTGGCACGTAACGACACGAAAAATAAATATATATCTATAAGAAACAAATGGGCAAAGGGACACAAAAAGTCAAGCATTAAAAAGGGAATCTAAATTACTACTGTGATATGGAAAGCTTAGAGTCGAGGGCGCCTAGACGTTGAGCACGGAATGCTTTTTGCTGCCAGCTAGGGGCAGCTGCACGGCGACCACGGCCAGGCGGCCGTCACGTAAGGGCGCCAGGATGTGCGTATTGCCAGGTGTTACGACTACCGTCTGGATGGGCACATGCAGCGGAATGTCAAAGACGGGCTTCAGCCTGCAAAGAGGAATTTGAGTTCAGTTATTAAAGTTTGGAGAACCCACTCCAACCCACTGCACTCACCCGTGTAGGCGGCTCATGGTTATGTCGCCGGCATCATCGGCCACCACCAGATAGTCCGAGGCAGTGGCCAGTCCTGTGACACGCCCAGACACATACTTGGAGCCCAGGCTGGCTCCATTGATGCTATACACGTGCACCGAGTGCGAAGTATCGTCCAAAGCACTGAAGGCAATGTGACCTGTGGATCATCAAAGAATAAGAAGCAGAAGATGAAGAAGAAAACGATTATTTGCTGACGTATGTCTGATAAGGCGGGCATCAACGGAGGGAGTCCGATGAAATGGCAATTAGCGCGACGAATTGACAAGGCTTTGCGAGGTGAAGAGGGGAAAGGGGGCAAGGAGAGGGAGAGGGAGAGGGAGACAGACTGGAAGAGTCTGGACCGTAATGTTGCATCTACGGGGGTCTAAGCTTATCGCTAGGTGATACACTGAGCGAAAAGGCTGAGACAGCAGTGAAAGGATGCAGAGAAATCAGTGGGTAGTTTAATGATAAGTATATGGTTAGCTTAAATTTTTCAATAAAAATTGAATGAATGAGTATGCATCGAAATCTTTAGAGCAACCCAGTAGATTGAAGATATTCGATATATCTATACTATAGCCCTATATTTAATCGCATTTGGTAGTCAAATTTCGAGTAGACTTTAAATATAGCGCATGCTCTATACGAAAATGTTCTCGATGGATTTCCTAAATGTAACAATCGAAGTACATTTTCTAATTGGATGATAATCCAACTAACAACGCGCGTCCAATCAGAATCTGTATTCAGCACCCTTATCTTAAAGACTCTTAAGGGAAAGTCATATTCCGAATTTACAAGAAACATATACTGAAAAAACATATACTCCACAATTAGTTTGTTTTGCTCATGTCTCAAATTAAACAATCAAAGATGACAAAGCAAGAAGATTGAAGCGCAATTGAAGCATAAAAACGACTTAATTTTCGCATAAGCATAAACGACTTCAGACACAAGGAGAGCATAGAAGACGACTGATAGAGCTACAAGATTGCGATATGTGGGGCAACATGAGTGGGTTCTACGCAGTTGAAAAGTTGAAGTGAACGGGTGCTGCTTGGCTGGGTCCGGCCCACTTGCTCGTTGATAACCTGAAGAAGGCAACGAAGACGCGTCGCATCGTGCGACAGCGCGATGGAATTTAATATTATGACACGCTTCTCAAGATAACAACAACAGCAAACGAAAGAGAAGCAAAGTCGAGGCAGGCGAAGTCTCAATGATTAAAGCAATGCGTAGTTCGAGTCTTATCAGTGGGCAATGCCAATGAAATTGATTCAAACGAAATCAAATCAAGTTGAAACTTGTTTCAAATACTGCAGAAATACATAAGAGAGGGGGATAGACTATCAGACAGAGAAAGAAAGAGAGACAGCAAGATAGAGCATAGTGCCAGTGCCCCCTGGACTAGATATACTTGGTATACATATACATATACATTATACCATATACGTATGTCTCAAGTATGCATATCTTAAATATCGTTTAAAGTGTTTATAATTTTTTGTGAATGGCTGCGCTTCCGAGTGGTTTCAGTGTGATTTGCGCTTAAACTAGAAATAACCATGTGATAGCCAGTTTGGCAATGCAGAGCTCCCCTTCCTCCCCCATACACTCTCTATCACCCACTGTCTTTTGCTTATCAGATCTCAGAGCTCTCAGATTACCAGTTCCCAGTGATTTGCCTTTAGTCACATTCTCGCCAATTGCGACGTTTACATTCATTCAGRAAAATTCCCATTCCATGTCTTAATTTTTTCTTCAGGCTTCACACACACACACGCCCATATATATGTATTTAGTGGGGGGGCCCCTCGCCGAGCTTTACTACAAAGTCTATCATAAACATTTTGTAGCGCCTTGGCAAAAAAAAAAAGAAAAACAAACACGAAAAATATCATGAATGAACGTGTGCTTATATATTTATGCGCTGCACCCTTTAAAGGCTCTTAGCGGGTATGATTGAATTATGAATCATATGTAACATTAACGGAACAGCTCTGTAAAACCATGAAATGCTTGCACTCTTTTCTATTAAAATACAGTA